TCATATCCCATTTCCACTATGGTATCTCTATATCATGATCTAGGCTACCAGGCCTTTGATGCTCGGCTTTGACTTACTGGCAATTCAAACATTTGGCCACATGATCTGCTACTTGCTTCTTCATGCCTTTTCACCAATACAACTCTTTCAAGTCCAGATACATTTTGGTAGCACCTGGGTGGATAGAGTACCTCGAGCTGTGAGCTCCTTTGATTATGGCCTTCCTAAGACCATCTACATCAGGCAAAAATAACCGATCATTCAACTTCAAAACTCCATCATTTCCTAGAGTGAAAGTAGTGATTTCTTTGTTTCTGATTCCTTCTTTTAACTTCACTAAGTACGGATCTTTGTCTTGCTTAGCCTTAACATGCGCAACAAGAGAGGATTGCGCTAAGGCATAAGCAGTTCTATCTAATTCGGTCTCATTCAAACTTATTCCATCATTTGCCAATTTTTGAATTTCTTGACCCAAAGTTTGCCTTAGTACTGCAAGATGGGCCAAGACACCCATTGACTTCCTACTAAGTGCATCTGCTACTACATTAGCTTTGCCGGGTGATAAAGGATATTGATGTCATAATCCTTCAAAAGCTCGAGCCACCTTCTCTGTCTTAAATTTAACTTTTTCTGCTTGAAAATGTACTGGAGGCTTTTGTGAACTGTAAACACTTCAGAATGCTCGCCATAAAGGTAGTTTCGCCATATCTTTAATGCAAACACCACTGCTGTAAGCTCCAAGTCATGTGTGGGATAGTTCTTCTCATGATTCTTTAAATGTCTGGAAGCATAAGCAATAACTATTTCATCTTGCATAAGAACACAACCAAGACCAACTCTGGAGGCATCACAATACACTGTGAACCCACCCGAACCTGTCGGCAAAGTTAACATAAGTGCAATGGTCAACCTCTTCTTTAACTCTTAAAAACTCTGCTCACAAGCGTCTGACCACTGGAACTTAACTGTTTTCTGAGTCAACTTAGTTAATGGAGTTGCAAGTGAGGAAAATCGCTCTACAAACCTTCTATAGTAGCCAGCTAACCCCAAGAAACTCCTGATTTCGGTTGGCGTTGTCGGCCTTGGCAAGTTCTTGACTGCTTCGGTCTTATGAGGGTCTACTTTTATACCTTCACTAGATACCACATGGCCTAAGAATGCCACTGACTGCAACTAAAACTCATAATTTGAAAACTTGGCATAAAACTCATTTTCCTTCAAGGTCTACAAGGCTATCTTGAGGTGTTCTGCATGCTCTTCCTTGCCTTTAGAGTATACCAGAATATCATCTATAAACCCGATAATAAAGGTATTAAGGAATGGCTTGCAAACTATGTTCATGAGGTCCATGAATACAGTTGGAGCATTTGTCAACCCGGAGGACATTAATAGAAATTCATAATGCCCGTAGCGAGTCCTAAAGGTTATTTTAGATATATTCTCTTCTCTGATTCTCAATTGATGGTACCCCGACCTTAAATCTATCTTTGAAAAGTACTTTGCACCCTGAATTTGAACAAATAAATCATTAGTTCTTGGCAGTGGGTACTTGTTCTTAATGGTAACTTTATTCAACTGCCGATAGTCGATGCACATTCTGAGAGACCCGTCTTTCTTCTTGACAAATAAGACCGGGGCACTCCACGGTGAAACACTCGGCCTGATGAAGCCCTTATCAAGAAGGTCTTTCAATTGTTCCCTCAACTCTTTAAGTTCTACTAGAGCCATCCGATAAGGAGGTATAAATATGGGTTGAGTTCCTGGCATGAGATCGATGCCAAAGTCTGTGATTCTTTCAGGAGGAAGTCCGAGAAGGTCATCTGGGAAAACTTTTGGAAATTCTCTAACAACTAGCACAGACTGAAGAGCTGGTGGTTCTGATTCTGGATTAATGATGTGATCCAAATAGGCAAGACACCCCTTACCGATCATTTGTTGTGCCTTAAGGTAAGAAATAAACTTACCTACAAGCGATGTTGAACTACCCTTCCACTCTAAGATTTCTTCATTTAGAAATTAGAACCTGACTATATTGGCATGACAATATAACATGGCATAGCAGGAAGACAACCAATCTATACCCATGATCACATCGAAATCCACCATTTCTAACTCAATAAGATCGGCCTCGGTGCTGCGACCTTGGACTGAAACTATACAACCTCTATAGACTCTTGGGGCTTTCACTGACTCGCCAACTAGAGTAGATTCTAGGAATGGCTCACTAAGATATTCAGGTTATAGCCCGAGGTTAATTGCAAAGTATGGAGTCACGTACGAAAACATTGAACCTGGACCAATTATGGCATAAGCATTATGTGATCAGACTAGAAGTATACCTGTAATAACTTCTGCATATGCCTCTGCACTCTGACGATCAAGTGTAGCAAACAAACGGGGTTGTCCTCCTCCCTGAGTAACTCGATCTGCACCTCTGCCTTCTCCATGCCCGACCTAATTATGAGAACCACGAGCCTGAGGTGGTGCAACTGTAGTAGCTGAGGAACTAGAAGGACGAGTTGATCCCCTACTGAAATTACGTCGCAACTTTGGGTAGTTTGCCTTTATATGACCACTGTCTTTGCAATGATAGCAATCGTTAAACCCGAGCTTGCACTGACCTAAATGTTGTAGCTTACATGTACCACAAAGACATTATTGTTGTGAATGTTGCTCAACATGACTCTGGCTGTATGAGGATGGTGTCCTAAAATTCTAATTCTGACATAACTCTGAGTACGTCTAAAGGAAGACCCATCACCTGACTGATGACTGGACTGAGCTGGTGCTAATGACCCCGTGCTGAAGGAACCCCTTCCTCCACTACTAGATGTACCACTAAATCCGTCTGTTGCCCGGGATTTCTTGTTATGCACTTTCTCTTCTCTCCTTTGTTGTCTGTCTTTTTCTAAGTGATTGGTGAAACCCACAATACAGGAGAAAGTTGTCATTTCTACTGTTGCAGCTGATGTCGTATCCTTAATGTGGTAAGCCAAACCACCAACAAACCTACGGATATTTGCTTTTTCTGTCTTAACCATGTGAGGAGCATGCTTAGCCAAACTTATGAATTCCATGTAGTACTCTTGCACACTTTTATTCTATTGCTTGAGCTGCTCGAACTTTATAGCCTTAGCTTCCCTATCCTCTTCTAGTATAAAATTAGCCATGAAGGCCTCTTCAAATTCTTCCCAAGTAGGCGGACCATCATCTTCATCTCTTTCCTTTTCCCACATCTCAAACCAAGTGCCAACCACAACTCTAAGCTGGTTGGCAGCTAGCTCCACAACTTCATCATCAAATTCCCTCTCACTTGGAGGTCTTTCTTGACACCCTCCAGCCACAACATTGGATCTTCATCAACTATAGTACCACAGAACAATGGAGGATTCAACTTCAAAAATTCTTCACTCTTGAGGACTTAGAATTGTTCTGTCTATCTGATTGAAGTGGAATCTCAGCTTTTCTCTCATTCTGGTTGGCTATGAAGGCTTTAAACATCTTCATAACACAGTTGACAGCATATTAAACATCTAACCCACCTCTAGAGATATAGTTGTCTGAGCCGGAACTACTGTTGGGGGTGGCACTGGATCCTGAGGTACTTGCTCACCATGCTCCACCCCTTCATTATGTTCGACCCGGGGTACTTGAACCCCCCATTTTGTGGATTTACCCTTCCTTTTCTGAGTTGAAGCCTTCTTAGTTTTACCTTGAGCCACAATAGTAGCAATAGTTTCTTGAGCATCATCCTGAGTGTCTGTGTCAGAGTTGCGAGTATGAGCCATTTCTGCGAGTTTTTGAGAAACAAATACATTAGATAATTTCTTAGAGGTAAGATATACTGTACAATCTAAAGTATGAAAAATGAGACTTTTCCTAAATGCTTGTAGCCTCCTATTTATAAGAGCGTGTTTGGCTAAGCTTATAAGCTGGTCAAACTGACTTATAATCACCTTTTGGCTTATCTACGCGTTTGGTAACACACAAAGTGCTTATAAGTTAAGTGCTTATAAGCTAAAAGCACCCATAAGTCATAAGTTGGTCAACCCCAACTTATGACTTTTTAGCTTATAAGCACTTTTAGTTTGACCAAGGTTTTTACTAGTTTATCCTCAATAATATTTTTTAATTCATAAAATATTTTCCCCAAAATAAATTTCCTAACTTTCTCTTCATCCCATATTCGTTGTTCATCCTTCACTACTAAAAAATAGTGTAATTCCGTCCGCTATTTCCAACCGAATTCCGACCGATTTTAATTGGTCGGAAAAATAATGGTCGCAAATGTGTACCGACCGAATTCGATCGGGCACTTCAAAGCGTTGACTAACTGTCAAACTTTAATTTTCGACCGAAATAGGCCGGAAACAATTAAATATATATTTTTAAAATTTTTAAATTTTCGACCAAAATCGGTCAGAAACTATTAAATTTTTATTTTTTAATTTTCAAATTTCCGACCGATTCTATTAAATTTTTGTTTTTTAATTTTTAAATTTCCGACCGAAATCGGTCAGAAACTATTAAATATTTTTTTTAAAATTTTTATTTTCCGACCGAATTCGGTCAAAAATTTTAAAAAAAAAATTATTTAAATAAATAATTAGTTGTAAATTGTAATAAATTGTTAATTTATTTTTTTTTTAAAATATAAATTCATAATTTCCGACCAAATTCGGTCGAAAATTTCAATAAACTAGAAATTTTATTTGAAATGTCCGACCGAATTCGGTTGGAAATTATGAATTGCTGGGCAAAAAAAATTAATTTTCGACCGAATTCGGTCGGAAATTTGGGTTAAAAGTGGGCAAAAATGCCTATTTTTGAGCTACACCACCTGTCAGTTACAACCAATATCCATCCTATTATGGCAGCATTAAATTGATGTCATTCAACCATAATTAATCAACAACAATGAATATACTAACAACAACAACAATTAACTAACAAAAACTATTAACTAACACTAACAACCATTATCTAACAACAACAACAACTAATAACAACCACAACAACAACTACTAAAATGTTCAATAACAAAATAACAATATAATCATCATTCAAAACTAGTCTCAACTAAATATTGACAAGTTCAATACTTTGTTTAGCAATACACACCATTCAATGAGTTTTTTTATCTAGCATCATCTCCATCTTCACTCCTAGAACCTTCATCGTCGGCACATGGGGAAGGCTCACGAGACCGGGGAATGGGGAAAGCACCACTAGCAAGAAGATTGGCTAGCTGACCTTGAAGGAGATTAAATTGTCCGTCCTTCCTTTCTAGCTGAAATTGAAGGGTACCAAATTGTTCATCTCTCGTTTTTTCTCTAGCCTTTGTCTCTTCAAGCTTTGCTGTCAGCTTTGCGATTTTCTATTCCATAGACAACATAGTCGACCTATCAATCACCTTGCCTTGGGCAGAAGTCCCTATACCTTACAATCCAGCCCTTTAGCGCCGAAATTATTTATCTGGAAGGCCGTATGTTATCCCCTTTTTAAGACCGACAACATCCACCCATATCCTCTGTGCTTCTTCGTCTAAAATGGGCGGTCGCTCGCCTTGCTCATTCGGTGGCAAGCTCTGAGTGTACTCCTCCAAATTAATCTTGTACCGACACTTTATTTAGAAGATAGAAAATTACTAACTATATAATATTATAAATATTTATAGTAGTTATGAAACTTACATGTGTAGTCTCCGCCTGGTCCTCGACCCATCTAGTTGGATCTGTCGGTGCCTTCTTCCTCCGGATATGAGTCTCCATGAAGAACTCATCATGACTCATCTTCCTCCCATGCTTTTTTTCCTACAAATATAATAAAACGTGTTAACGAAATTAACATATATAAATATAGTTCGATAAAAATAGACCGAAATATTTTAAGGAATTACCAGTTGTCTCCTCGTATCCCCCATGCTCCTTGAACCCAGACAATGCAAGGAGCCACCCTTCTCAGATGCTCGAGCCTTCTTTTCCAGTTCACTCTGCTACTCGAATTTCTCGGTGGCCCAATACCTCTGCAGATCCACCCATACATCTGGTAGAACCTATGAAAGCTTCTTTTTAACCTTTCGAGCGGAGCTGAAGGAATCAAAGTGTCTCTTACGACATTTGTACTCACAATTTATACAAATTTCACGGTTATACCGGACAAGGCACACTTAGTCTGCAAATAAAATATGTAACGTTAGATGAAAATATTATTAATATAATGCTTAAATAGATAAAAATTGTATTAAAACCTTAAATTGGTTGAACATCTGTTGCACGAGATCATCTGGAAAGTCACTCCAAGTCAGATAGGGTGCATTATACAACCCGCCAAGAATATCAGTGATTATCTTTGTAACCTGATGATTAGAAATGAACCCGCAACATAACAATTACATTAAATAAACAAGAGTAGCTATTATAATTCAGCAAAAAAAAAAGTAATAAATAAATCTTACCCATTGCCTTCAGGCCTGATGATGATCCTATGATAACGATCATAACGCACATCATCTGGATCATCATCCTCCAATGAATCTGAAGCGTGCGCAGAAAGGGGGCATCTGGTTCAGTGCTACTTTCCTGAAAACGAAATCTAGAAATGCTAGGAGACGAACTCCGTGGAGAGGGAGACGAGGTCCCTGATGAAGATGGCTGCGATCCACACCCCTGCATCGATCTAGACCCCTACTGCGATCCAGACAACTGAAATCTAGATAAATGTGATCCAGCTGGAGATGAAGCAAATGGAGCAGATGACAGGCGTACCACATGGCTCTGTGACTGGTGACTCGATGCACCCATGTTAGTACTGGTAGGATCATGAGGAGGAAGTAGGGTATAGCCCTGTGGCGGAGAATGGTGATAATACTGCTGGGCGGGCGAATGGTGGGTAGTAAGATGAGTAGATGGATGTGGTGGAATAGATTTGTGCCTAGAAGATTGCTGCCGGCCATCAACAGCAGAGGGATGCAAGTGTGGAGTGGAAGAAAGCGTGGGTGTAGCACCACCATCATGATCAATAGGCCTTTTATCCTTTCTAGACCTACCTCGACCCTTACCGGCCATCTGCACAAAATGATTCCATTTAATATAATAGGACAGGCCGGGGTATACATAAAAAGATGGGCTGTTGAGGAGTGGGGTATTATAGGGACAATGTAACATTCATAAAAAGAACCATTTCATGCAGAATGCACAGTCATGGACAGAACAAAGATCGCATATTTACTTAGTTATATGGGATTGCATTTCATCCACAAAAAAGTGCTCTAAATAGATTAAAATTTTAAATGGTGTTAATATGTTCACTTCAGAAACTACCATAATCAACATATATCTTACATTTCCTGATTTCTCCACATAGTCATGGACACAAAAGTAAAAATTACCGACAAAAAAACAATCAAAAAGGTTGCAAAAACTATCATATATGAAGGAAAAACGGATATTTCAGCTAGATGCTACAACCCCCCACCCCCACCCCAACACACACACAGACATACTGTTTGTACTAGAATACTATATGAAGGACTTAATAGGAATTATGCACCCTATAAAAGTCCCATTTTATGCTAATGTCAATTTAGAATAACATTTTCCTTTGCATAAAAGGAAGTTAGAACTTCTCATAGTCATATTTTACCAAATTTCTATATTTGCAATAAAAATTTGAGTTTTCAAACAAATAGAAGTCACTTGAGGAACGAAAATCAGCAGCTAAATTGTAAATCTATGACACAAAATATTACCTTATGTATATAGCATCCTTGTATTGACAATGTCTTCGTATAGATGGTGTTACTATGTGTGTGCATGTATGTTCTTGAAACATTAATTGTTCTTTTATTCTTTCAAGCTGAGGACATATCAAAGATTACATTCTCAGTAATTATTGATCAGCTAGCATTTTGCTTTTCTTCTAATATTCCAAACTAATTTGATATTTTTACATGTGCCGATTTTAGAATAATATCATAATCAATTTATGAAACTAATTAAAAGCTTAAATCTTTGTAAAGCCAATCAACTATGATCTTAAAATAGAATTGAAAGAACATCGGAAGCGGGACTACGGGATAACTTCAATTAGCTCTTGTATACACTAGCACATCCAAAATTTAGATATGGTGAATTTTGAGTTGAGAGAGCAAATTTTGAAATGTACATACAATAAAAAATTTTCTCACTTTTGTGTGTAAGGTTTCATATTACTGTCAGTGCCATAACCGGAAGTAAGCTTAAAAGAACAAGTCTATGGCCAACTTCAGATAACATGTACTACTACTCCTGCATTTTGACGAGTAAGTCAGAAGGTTCGATTTAAACAGATGATTCTGCACCCCAAATTAAAGAATGATAAATTCAATATTAAATGGTCAGTTTGGGGCATTACTAATGCTCATACGTTGATGAATCCTCCAACCCGTATTTTCATCCTTTGCACCACATCAAGTTATCTATTTTTTTTATTGGAATAGAAATCTCTAACAACTGGATAATCATTAAGTTTCTTTGGACAGAAAATTACAGAAGAAATGAGAAAAATCGTTGATTCTTATAAAGAGTTTACCTGACAAAAGTTTACATCTCAAGCCTAAATAACCCCTTTTGGTTTCTAATGATAGCAGTACAGTAGTGGATGACCAAATAAAGGTCTAGAATGAGGAATGGGGCGCAGCTACTCAACAATCGGCAACAGCAGCAACAAATAGCCCCTTAAGAACTCGATTTGACCTTGAAAACCAACTGGATTCGTCCAACAAATCACAGATAACGAGATTTTTCTCAAAAATCCTGATTTTTGTGAAGCTAATTTGAGGAGGGAGGTAGAATCAGGTGGCCTCTTGAGAGAAAAGAAGAAGAAGAGGAGAGAGGCGACTGGTTTTTTCTGGTTGTAAAAAGGAGGAGGTCGCCGTTCTTCTTCAGCCAGGGAGAATTTAGGGTGTCTTAGGTTTTTTTATAGAAGGGGTGGGTTCCCTCTTCTTTGAGAATGGGAGAATTAAGGGCGTTTAAGGAAAATGGGGAAGGGAAACGACGTAGTTTTGCAACCATATTATGTCATTTTTTGTTCAGGCCTTAAAGGCATTTAAATCCTAAATTAAAACCTAACTTAAATCTAATTAGCAAAATTAAAATGTGACCATTTTTTATGGTTTTTTTCTATAATTTTAAAAATATTAAATATGCATAGTATATAAGCTATATTTAAAAATATTAAATATGCATAATATATCTATATTAAGTGTATAGTATATAAGCAATATAAGATGTACATATAGTATAGTATAGTATATTTATATAAGCTATATTCGATAAGCAATATATACATCTTATATAAGCTATACAATTTTAAATTATATATAAAATACATTTACGCGAGCAAAAAAATATAATTTAATTCAATTATAGTAAATTTTAATCGAATATAATTAAATTTTCAATTGAATTTTCAATGATGCAATTATATTGAGTTGTATTCAATTATATTAAGTTGTATCCAATTATATTAATATAATTTAATTCAATTATAATGTAGTAGATATATATATATATATATATATATTTAACAGGATCAAGTGGCGGGCGGTAATCCGCCATGCCTTCTCAATTAAATTAAAACAGA